CGCGGCGGGGCGGGCGGGGGGGGGGGGGGGTACGGGGGGAGGAGAGGGAGCAGCCCCCTGGCTCTGCCCCCCCAGCCCGAGGAGCAGCAGGTGAGACGGTGGGATCGCGGGGCAGTTCCCCGGCTCCTTGCTGTGCCTGAGGAACAGCAGCCACCTTGATGGGGGACATGAGATGTCCCCCTGCCCACAGGGCTCAGCTGGACCCCTGGTGTTGTGCTGAAGGCCAGCACTGCCCCCCAGGCTCCAGCCACAGCAGTGTCCCTGCCCTTCACCCCATCTCTCCCCCCACCCACCGCCCGGCTGAACTTTCCCGTTCAGCTGCCTCTCTCCCGCACTGAAAACAAACACCAGCCCGGCTCTGCAGAGATAAGGGCTGTGCTAGCAGAGCCCAGGGAGCAAAGTCCCCCTCGATTAAATCCGAGGCTGCAGCACCACAGGAGCTGCCTCCCCCCAAGCCTGAGTGGAGGGATGAGGGCATGGCAGATGGGGTGAAGCTGCTCCAGCACCCCATCCCAGGGGCAGATTTAGCGCCTCAAGGGCTCACATCTGCTGCTGGCTGCCCCGAGCAAAGAGGCCACAGCCCGGTGGCCAGCATTCCCAGCAGGATTAAGGGCAGCCTCCCTCCATCAGGCCATGGGCACCAGCATCCGCAGCTAGCTGCCGCCCCGAACAGCCCCTGCCAGCAGAGCCTGGGATGCAGAGCAGCAAGCCGACTCGGTGCCAGCCCGGCACCCGGATACATGGACTTCGGCCCCCTTGCCCGGCGCAGAGCCCTCGCCGCAGCCCCGCATCCCTCTTCCCAGGGAAGCCACTTGAGATCATTTCCTCTCCCGACACCTGCAGCCAGGCTGGGCCCCAGGGCCCCAACTCAGCCCCAGTTACTCTGCTCCGCCCAGTGCGCAAAGGCATGGGGGACTGGAAGCATAGTGGGAATTACACCACCAGCAGCATGGGAACCGCACCACTGGGCTCGTCCGGAGAGCACCCAGCCCAGGAGGCCAGCCTGCGTTATCCACCTTCCCCGCAAGGAGCATTCAAGTCACCAAGGAACCGCAACCAGGAACATGGAGAAGGGCAGGAGCCCAGGGCCCCCCACCCATCCCCACAACCCCATGCAGGGTGTCTCCCTGCCCCCCCCCGCCCAGGGCAGACCAGGGCACCCCAGAGGCAGACAGGGTGCCCTTCCCTCTGCCAGACAAGCCACACACCTCTCCCCTCCCCAGGCTGAGCAAACAGGCAGGCAGTGAAGTAACATTTACTGCAGGAGTGGCAAGGAGGGAATTGCTGGGATTAAGCCAAGCAGCCCTTGTAGGGGCAGCCCAAGGGAGCCACCCAGAAGTGGGACCCCCCCTGCCCTCCCCTCGCCCCAGCCAGCCCAGACTCCCTGAGGAGTTAGGGCAGCCAGCAGGCTGAGTCACAGCACGAATCACCCAGGGGCCGGGCTGAAAACCCCAGTTCCATTCGGCATGACCTCATCAGGTGCCCTGCTCTCTAATTGCATGCGTGCGTCTGCGCTCGGAGATGACTTCGAGGGCCCTGCCAAGAGGATTAATGAATGGGTGAAAGAAAGCCACCAGAGAAGCATCAGGCAAGAGCCAGGGACTGAATCATGGCTGGGGGTGGGGAAGGGGACTGCTGCCCTGCCGATGGGCTGTGACAGGGTAACAGCAAGTCCCCCCCAGCGCTCCGAGTCCCCTTAGTGCCCATGGCCAGGAAGGTGCACGCATGGGCTGGCACGAGCAGCAAGGGACAAACAAGACAGCAGGCCAGGCCATGCTCAGAGGGACAGTGGGACTTCATCCTACCCCAGCCTCCTGCCCAAATTGTTTGCTGGTGTCACATCTGCCTACTACTCCCCCAACCCACTCACTGAGAAGCGGCTTCCCAGGCTCCTGCGCGAGCCAAAGGGAAGGAAACCTGCATTTCCTGGTCAGACAGGAGATGACATCGTGACTTCCCTTTCCCGTAAGCTTCTAAACACGACGTCCTGCCAAGGGCCGCTCCCCACCGCCCCTGGCCTGCATACAGACACCCTGGAACCAGGCCAGGAATGCCAGGCACGTGCATCACCACCACCACCACCAGCCCAGCCTCGGCCAGCTGCACCAGCCAGGAGGTCGGCATGGTCCACCCAGGAGACCAGATGCCCAGCCAGCTTGCTGGAAGCATCCTGCCTCCAGGGAACACATATGAGGGCTGGGCTCCTTGTCTATGGTGGCATCACATTCCTGTCCAGGGCTGGAGTATCCTACAAGGATAGGATGGAAGTAGAGCGGAAGATGCTGTTTTCCAACCCTACGAGGACATGGCTGTGCCCACCGTGCCCTAGAGATAGGCTTGTTATCTGCAGAGCTGAGGAGGCACAAACACCAGAACTCCAGCACGACATCTGCTCACTAAGACTGCAAGCAAGCATGCACCACTGCTCTCCAGCCTCCCCTCAAACACCCCATCTGCACAACTCCACCAGTCAATGGGCACACACAAACAGGGCCACCTGACACTTTGTGGTGTTCCCAAGGCTCTCGGAGGCAGGACGGGGACATCCCTGGGAAGCCAAGCCACAAGCGCCCCTCACGGCATAAGACTGCTGCCGCAGCTTCGCTCTCCAGGCCCATTCACCTGCCCTGCCCAGAGCAGCTCCTCTCGCCACCGAAGGAAGGAGAATACAGAAGGGAAGTGGTTTTCCACCCCAGCCAGCTGCTGGAGACAGACACTGGGCAGAGATCAAGGGAGAGCAGGTTTCCCCGTTTGCCACACCAGTGTGCTCTGGAGTGGAGCTGCAGGGCCCAGGGAGCTTCCTCCTGCAGGTAAGAGCGGGGGGGGGAGCAGCAGAGAGGAAGGAGGGCTACAAAGCCAGCCTGGAGCAGGCAGCCTCCCACATCAGAGAGGATTTCTCCCAGAAGCACCCCCAGGCTGTCCCCCTCCTCCTCCATCAGACCCTGGTTAGCATGAGGCGGGATGACATCCCTCTCCCCCCGGAGCGAGTCAGCCTGCCCGCAGCCGAAGCCAGGCATGGCAAGCAGCGCGGCGTGCAGCAACACGCTCACAACAATGTGTTACTCCACTGGGCAAGGGGCCTGCCAGCAGCATGCAAACACGACCGGTGACCCACCCTTCCAGGTTGGAAAAACTAGTCTTTGCAGTTTGACACACTCCCTCCCACCCATCGCAGCTACCCGTGCGCGCGAGCTGCCCAGCACCACCATCTCTCCCCTCCTACAGGGCCAGGAGAGGAGCTGGGAGCACCAGCGGGGCAGCAGCCAAGATCTGGGAGCCCTTCTTAGAAAAGACCAG